AACCCAATCCGTAATGTACTTTTCAAATTTCAATCAAGTCAGCATATGATTCCAAAGATTGATAAAAATGAATACTTTCATTTCTCACGACTGATTAGCATATTGTGTGGCGGAGAATCATTTCTATCATGGTAATTTGACCCACCTCCTTATAAATGTGACTTTTTCGGTTTCTGGATGGTTTTTTCACTTTTTCAAAATAAATGCTTTCAAGGAAGAGTGCATTTTGATTATTAAAAATGATATTCCATTATGCAATTAGTTTTTCAAACAGTTTTATAATAAACCTTAATATTCGAATTCTTCTTATTTAAAGCAATTCATAAATGAAAAAATTATTTACAATTACTTTGTGTGTTTAAAGGGGATTTATAACCAGCGCAAATAGTGAATTGAGTAACTGTGTGAATAGGCCCTGTTCATTCGTTCCGCTTATTTGTAATAAAACAAGCTTTCCGAGAATTGAGTCCTCACTTTCATCTGTCAATAAACGAATTCAAATTTTATGAAAACAAATAAACGTACAATTTAGATAAGAAACGCTATCTTGGTAAAGTGTCTTTCAATCGATTTATTGTCTAAACTTTAAATTTTTTACCTAAGCCACTGACCAACGTAGCAATTAAGTCGACTACATGCTAGGTTGGTTAATTCATTGTTTGACCATTAACAATGCAATATTTGTTCCCGTTCTCTGCCCACTCCCCCCCTCCACCCGCCTCCCACTTCAAACATTTGCCTAAATATATTTATGAAGGACAATTGTAGAAACATAAATCGTAGTTGCAGCTATAAGTCGGGTATATTGATTGATTTCTATTCTCTTGCATCGCCCTGATGAAATTAATTTATTTGCCGATTCTAGTATATGACAGGTTGATAAACTCGGCATTGTAAAACCTATAAGAATGTTAAGGCGCGGTAGTAAATAAACAATTATATGTCAAATACATTTGATACTTTACCTAAGCTGTCCTTATGGAAGAAATTCGACAGAATGTAGCTATCATAAATAAATCCGAAACAAGTCCCATTCACCCCTTGTTAGCTGTAAAAAGATGTAATTCAGTCGATGCCGCACGATTGCAGATTTAAATCAATCGTTAACAAATATTGATTATCGTGAACAAAATCCCACCCCTGAACCTGAGAGTCCAGTCATAATATTTGGACATCGCAGTGAGACACAATAGATCCGCTTTTGAAGGAGAAATAGAGACCATTAGGATAGCACTATGCCAATTAAGTTGCCTAGATACGAAATTCACCAAAGCGGTGAAACTTTCGGACCCACAGTCAGCAATAAACTCAATTGGAAACAGAGAGACACCCAAAAAAACTGAGATAAAGGAATGTAGAAAACTCTATTCTACTGAGAGAGAAAAACAAAACAGTGGTCCTACAATGGATTGAGAGAGAAAACAAAACAGTGGTCCTACAATGGATTCCTGAAGAGAAAAACAAAACAGTGGTCCTACAATGGATTCCTGGTTGAGAGAGAAAAACAAAACAGTGGTCCTACAATGGATTCCTGGTCACTGTGAGATTGCTGACACACTTGCTAAGAAGGGGACAACGATTTTGCTATGCATGGACCGGCCGATGTCTTTACACACAATGAAGGCCTAGGAGAGAATTCCAGACCTCAGTGTGCAATTAAAGCTCGAACAAAGGAGAAACAGTGGCACTCTCCGACATAGCCGACTGGCGAACAAGGGAGAAATAGTGGACAGTGGCACTCTCCGAAATAGCCGACTGGCTAAGAATCGAACAGTTGGCACTCTCCGATATAACCGACTGGCCAGGAATCGAAGCCGTTGCCGACTGGCCAAGAATCGAAGCCGTTGCTGAGTTTAACTTTGGCCAAGAATCGAAGCCGTTGCTGAGTTTAGACTACGTACCGGACGGATTGCCTGGCAAAACACCTTCAAAGATTGGGAGTATACATCAGTGAACAGTGGCACTCTCCGACATATCCGACTTTCCAAGAATCGAAGCCGTTGGTGAGTTTAGACTACGTACCGGACACGATTGCTTGGCAAAACACCTTCACAGATTGGGAGTATACACTCAACCCACGTGCCCCCTATGTAACCTACAGGAGGAAATGGATAAGACCCACCCGATTCGGTATCCAGCTCTAAAGACAACGACGGAAAGCCAGAGATACTGGGAGACAAGAAGACAGCTAATGAACTGCTATTAATTAACTGCTATAAATGTACCCCCCGCCCTTGGGGGAAGCTGAAGTCAAAGTTTAAGGTCTAATGATAAATATCATAAAGCCTGCCATTTGAAATAAATAAATAAATATTTGGACATCAGGTTGATAAACACAGTAAACGGGCTTTATATGGGAATATGGCCAACTGAATACTTTCGAAATTTAATTAAATTTGCCTTTTGTCACCTTTTTTCTTGACCACCTTCAGAATCTCGACTTATTAGACGTTCCTGTTCCCAAAATCCAGTTCCTACCGCATGATTAAAACTTGTTACTTTGGGGCGAGGGCAGGAAACAGTTGCACTGCCATGGCAAGATCTGTTTTCCGAGTTAGTCATCTGATCAAGTAGATTGGAATGTCACACAAATTGTACCTAGGTTCAAACCGTGATTGTAGAGCGCTGGAACAAGAGGATTTGACATAACGTTAGGTTAAAAGTAGATAATCTGATGGCTCTAGATTTCAGATGCGATAAGGCTCCTTTGAAGCTACTCTAAACATCAATCCCGCTTACTCTTTATTTCCCTCTATTCGGCTATTCCATCTGACTACGTGCATTTTATAGTTATATTTTATATCTTTTTATCAGGGGTAGATGTTATAATAACAGCTACCATCAACACACCAAATGGGATATTTTTCAGCAAGAAAAAACAGCTTTTTGTAAAGGCGATTTCAGTAGTTCATTCATGTGAAAGCAATTATTTGTCAGATATTTTACAAATTATCATAAAAGTAGTCGATGATGTATTTAGAAACAAAAGTTGAAATCTTGTTAAAGCATGTTTAATTCAGCGTCGCCAGTGAAGAAACATCAATTTAAATATGTAAAAAACACATAAGTAAATAAAACACGGAAAATTTGTGTCTCAAGGTTTTGCATTTCGAATTAATCATTTAAAGCTTTCTGGCACTTAGTGTGCGAGTGTGCAGAACACATAAACGAAATTTAATTATTTATGATGAACCTATTCGAATCCAACGAAGTATGGCAACAAGAACATGAAAGGAAATGTCGGCAGACCATATTTTAAGTTGGCCTTCAAGTACAAAGTCAATAAACATGAAAGAGAATGAAAAATCCAATTGAGCAACAAGAAAATAGATTATGGAG